TAGTTATTAATCCAAAATAATTTAGTATTCTTTCATGAAAGCATTTCTTACCTATAATCCCAGATCTCATTAAATCAATTGACGTAATCATGGTCGGTTTCATATTTTATATATCTATAAATTTACCGGATATATTTTCTCTTAGTAAAAGTAGCTATTATTATTGGCACATATCTCCCGTAAGAATATTTTGCCTGCTCAGTCCATATATGACGTCTCTCTGCAGGATAATGGATAGCAAATATGTCAAAAGATCCATTTCGACTTGCACAACAGGAATTCTCTTAAATGAATATGAAATAATATTTTTTTGGAAAGATTTGTAATTATTATAATTACCAAAACATTTTAGCACTCAATTGACCCTTCCTGTCACGAACGCAATGAACAAATTCATTATTCAATATTTTAAAGTTGTTAAGGATTGGAAAAATTATTAATACAACATTCTTTTTTGTTTGAATGCGTCATTAAGAGAAAATGTAAAGATCTTCGACGCTTTTTGTTTGCAATTAATTTAAATATCCATGTTTATTTGTGGCTTTCTCCCGCTCCTTATGGATAGAATGGATCGATGATCAAAAGTTTGCATAGAGCTTTGTATTTTTATGTATCGATCTGTAAAATCATGCCCGTGACTGTAACTTATTATTTTCATTGTCGATAAGATTGCATTGTTTTATGATTTATAATAACGAACATGTTCTTCAAAGCAGGCTTTTATCCGAGGTTACTGCGTACATATTCGAGAAGGAGGAATTTACCGACCTAATCATGAATACATGATAATAAAAGAAGTAATAAAAAGGAATATTTATCGATATTACGTATGTTTATCATGCAATCTATCAATAATGATACTGTTTCCAGCTTCTAGAGAAATCCTAAGACAATATCTATAATAATAATAATAATAATAATAATAATCATTATTATCATTATCATTATTATTATTATTATTATTTAATTATTGGAGAGAAAACTGAGAAATTAGTTAGTGAATGGGTGGATTGTCAGTAAATCATGAAAGATAACACCCCCGACCAAAAAAAAAAAAAAAATGCACGGCTTTGTTCTGAATAATAAATTTAATTTTCTTACACTGTATATATTCGGACTGTTGTCTCCCATCTTCGTTGCCGTTGTCACAACGATTCGGTCGTTGAGCATTCCGAGAACTAAAAAAAGACGATATCCTTAATCATGAGTAGTGGAAAAGGAACAGTCTACCCACATTGATTAAATAAAGTGTTCATTTCAGAATTCCATGTATTTTACCAACATTGATGTACACATAAGTGAGGCTGGAGGGAACAAAGTAATGGTCGTTTGAAAAAAATGTATATAGAAATATCAACTTTCAGTATGCTCTTGCTTGCATACTTACTACAAATGTTACTATTTTAAGAATAAATCAAAATAAAATTAATATATTTTAATTAGATACATTGAATGGAATATATATTCAAACAAGAATTCTTATTATGAATCGCCACATGAAAAGTGGAGTAATGGATAGCGGTTTGGATTGAGGAATCGGAGAGCCGAGTTCGAATTCCAGTCGAGTCCGTTACATTCACTTACGTGCTAATACCCTTGGGAAAGGTGTGAATACTCTTCTTCTCCCTAAATAGCAGGACAGACTGGGTTCTGTAGACTAGAAAAAAAAAAAAACTCTGAATTCAAAATCTGCGGAGGGTCGTATGGGGACCTTGTGGCACGTAGTGCAACGGGTCTCTGTAATCAGCCCTTCAAAAAGTGTGGATTGTCCTGCACGAAACCTTCACCACTATAATCAAGTCTCGTGTGTTATACATGCGGGTTGGGGACCGCTTGTGAATTCCAAATTCCCATGAAACCCCAATATTGGAGCCGGCTCAACCCACCTCGGGTGAATGCCTTTACAGGTACATGAAAATGTGCAATTTTTTTTACTGTGTTCGATAATTAAGAACTGTAAAAAAAATTGTCAAAGATTTCAAAAGAGGCTACTTAATGAATAAGATTTTTAGATTATTCTTTAAATCGATTGTTTGATCGTAATTGTAATAACACCGTTATATTGCTGGGCATAAATTCTGAGAAAAAGTATCTTAAATGTGCGTTGTTTATTGAAAGTCACACTTAAAGGGCCTCACTGTATAACATATTACATCAAAATATATCTAAATTAAAAGACTGCTCTTAGTGCTTTCACTGATCACCAGAAAGAATTTGATCCTACGATTTTAAATCTAAACTTATTCTCAAACTCATTTCCTCGATAAACGGTATGGATTTGGAAAATATTTGTCCCTATTTATCATGTAGAACCAAAGTTTTCAACTTTAGTGCAATACAACGCTTCCAAAATCGCCCCGCCTTAGTCCTCATCCAAAAAATTATTGATTAAGAAAATAAATTTTTCCTGGGAGACGTAACAGGCAGATTCAAAACAAGTTTGAGACGGAATTGGAACAATGCCTAAGGAAATCTTTCTAAGGGTCCTGGAGAACATCTGAAAAAACGTCTATATATGTGATGAACGAGATGGAGAAAAGGTTGAGACACTTTGAAAATATAATATCCCTTCTCTTCCTCTAGATATGTCCGTTATTTACATTATTCGGACTATTGCCCTCATCTTTGTCGCCATATTCATTACAACGTTTCGGCCGTTGTACGCTCCGGCTTTCTTCAGGTGGTTGGAATGTCGAACTGAACCCTTTATTTCGATCACTGGGGTAGACTGTTCTAGTTCCACGTTCGATGTTTTTAATGTATGTCAGTGATCAGTTATCTCCTGTTAATTTCCCTCTGAAAGTTCTCCACTGCATTAACCGGGTATTGAACTCACACTCATTGGGTCCTGTCAATGGATCTCTTAAAACATTAAACAATAAATCTTTTACGAAAAAAGAACTAAACAAAATGAACACAAAACGATCAGCTTTAAAAAAAACTCGTAACTGGAAAAACGGAATGAAAAAAGAATGTTAACAACAAATACTTTTTCACATCCAACCCAGTTCTGCGGAATCAGAATCAACGTTGAGTTTAAGCAAGCGAATGAGCCAATTGGAGTAAAGTGCCATGCAGATTTAAATTTTTCCCACTTGTGACGAATGCAGCTATCGATATTTTGCATGCTAGTTAACATTCGTGTCAGTCAGCTGTTTGCTCTCACGCTGGCCAATAGAATCTTCATGCCTATTGGTGGCAGCCAGCTATTGGCTCCCACTCTGGCCAGTACAAAATGGCCAAAAACTACATGAAAACTGCAGTAGAAGCATTAAAAAATCGATTATTTCCACTATCGATGGGTGTTGGGAAATGCAACGTCGGCGTTGGCCTTCCCGCTAACTTGGAGCATGTGCATGCAATTTTTGGTGCAAATCCGTCGAAAATTGCGGCCGTGTATTCGTTACACACACACACGTCTTGCCTTTTATAGATAGGGATTATAAATTTATATGCCAAATTATCAACCTTATTTACCGAAATATACACTGTAGAATTAGGGGCAAATTACACACACAAACACACAGACATGTATATATATATATATATATATATATATATATATATATATATATACATATATACATACATACATACATATATATATATATATATATATATATATATATATATATATATATATATATATATATATATATGGGGGTGCCTGTGTGTGTATAGTCCTCACTTGACTGTCTCAATAGAGTCTATAAGCGTTTCTTTGACCTTGTGGATTATAAATTATTTTACGACATGCAACCCATCTCTCACAGACGGGTTGTTGCTAGCCTCTCATTATTTATCGCTATTTCCATGGAAAATGCTCTGATGTACAATATTCATTAGTTTCACCAGTTCTAAAGTTCACGGCTAGGACCCGCCATATTACGCACATTGTAACGAACCACCTTCATTCCCTGCGTATTCCGTTGGTGAGAAGTAAGTTCCATTCAAGCAGATTCTTCCTTCGGCTCTGTGAAAACGACTCCCAAAGTTGATGTTTTCCCGATCACTACGATTCTCACCTGTTCAAGTCTGGGTTTAACCGTTCTTTCCCACTTATCCTCATAAACTGTCTATTACACTGCACCTGTCTGACTGGAATTGCTACCGGACGCTGTACAGGGTGAACTTCACCGTAGTAGAGAGGAAGTAAGAAAGTTAAGGTAAGAGAAAGATACAATAACCGAGAGAGAGAGAGTAAGAGGGATATACATAGAGAGAGGGAAATATATAGAAAGGGATAAGACATAGATATAAAAGAAAGTGTAAGAGAAATATAGTGCGAGAAAAAAGAAAGAAAGAAAGAAAGAAAGACACAGACAGAGGAAAAAGAAAGAGACATTAAAAGAAAGAGAGAGACATAGAAAGAAAGAAAGAAATATAGAAAGAAAGAGTGGAAGAGAGATACATGAAAAGAAAGAAAGAAAGAAAGAAAGACAAACAGAAAAAGAGACATGGAAAGAAAGATATATAGAAAGTAAGAGTGGAAGAGAAATACATGGAAAGAACGAAAGAAAGAAAGAGAGAAAGAAAGACAGAAAAAGGGGGAAAAAAGAGATACATGGAAATAAAGAAAGAAAGAATGAAAGTTAGATACATGGAACGAAAGAAATAAAAAAGGAAAGAAAGAGACAGATAAAGAAAGAGTTAGACGGAGAGAGAGAGGAAAAAAGAAACAAAGAGAGAACGAAAGAAAGAAAAAACAGAGAGAACGAAATAAAGATACAAAAAAGTGTAAGAAAGAAAGTGAAAGAGTGATACATGGAAGGAAGAAAGAACGAAAGAAAGTCAGACAGACATAGAAAGAAAGAAAGAGACCTGGAGAGAATGACACAAAGAACAATTAAAAGGAAGAGACAAAAAAGAAAGAAAGAAAGAAAGAAAGAAAAAAAAAGAAAGAAAGACAGAGAGAACCAAAGAAACATACATAGAGAGGAAGAAAGAACGAAAGAAAGTCAGACAGACATAAAAAAAAAGGAAGAAGACACAAAGAACAATTAAAAAGGAAGAGACAAAAAAGAAAGAAAGAAAGAAAGAAAGAAAGACACAGAGAGAACCAAAGAAACATTAAAAGGAAGAAAGAACAAAAAGAAAGTCAGACAGACATAGAAAGAAAAAAAACCTGGAGAGAATGAAAAAAAAGACACAGAGAGAACCAAAGAAACATACATAGAGAGGAAGAAAGAACGAAAGAAAGTCAGACAGACATAGAAAGAAAGAAAGAGACCTGGAGAGAATGACACAAAGAACAATAAAAGGAAGAGACAAAAAGAAAGAAAGAAAGAAAGAAAGAAAAGAAAGAAAGACACAGAGAGAACCAAAGAAACATACATAGAGAGGAAGAAAGAACGAAAGAAAGTCAGACAGACATAAAAAGAAAGAAAAAGAGACCTGGAGAGAATGACACAAAGAACAATTAAAAAAGGAAGAGACAAAAAGAAAGAAAAAAGAAAGAAAGAAAGAAAGACACAGAGAACCAAAGAAACATACATAGAGAGGAAGAAAGAAGAAAGAAAGTCAGACAGACATAGAAAGAAAGAAAGAGACCTGGAGAGAATGACACAAAGAACAACAAAGAAAAGAAAGAAAGAAAGAAAAGAAAGACCAGAGAGAAAGAAACATACATAGAGAGGAAGAAAGAACGAAAGAAATCAGACAGACATAAAGAGAATGACACAAAGAACAATTAAAAGGAAGAGAAAAAAAGAAAGAAAGAAAGAAAGACACAGAGAGAACCAAAGAAACATACATAGAGAGGAAGAAAGAACGAAAGAAAGTCAGACAGACATAAAAAGAAAGAAAGAGACCTGGAGAGAATGACACAAAGAACAATTAAAAGGAAGAGACAAAAAAGAAAGAAAGAAAGAAAGAAAGAAAGACACAGAGAGAACCAAAGAAACATACATAGAGAGGAAGAAAGAACGAAAGAAAGTCAGACAGACATAGAAAGAAAGAAAGAGACCTGGAGAGAATGACACAAAGAACAATTAAAAGGAAGAGACAAAAAAGAAAGAAAGAAAGAAAGAAAGAAAGAAAGACACAGAGAGAACCAAAGAAACATACATAGAGAGGAAGAAAGAACGAAAGAAAGTCAGACAGACATAGAAAGAAAGAAAGAGACCTGGAGAGAATGACACAAAGAACAATTAAAAGGAAGAGACAAAAAAGAAAGAAAGAAAGAAAGAAAGAAAGAAAGAAAGAAAGAAAGAAACAACGAGAAAGAGACATTAAGAGAACGATACAACAATTTACAGAGACGGAGAAGTTATGACAATTATATACCTACAACTTTATATTTCATATGACAATTAAAACGACATGTATCATTCTTGCAATTGCGTGACTGGTTTGTATGCTGGACGTAAATAATAGTCGTGATGCTATGTTACGAAATAAATACATATAAATAGCATAGAAGTTGAAAACAAAAAAAAAATGTAATAACCTCCTGCGATATAACGTTATATACGTTCTTCCAAATCCATAAAGGCTTTCTTTTCACTAAAGAAGCTGGTAAAAAACTGCAATGGAAGGGTATCTGCATTCCTTATCTGCTTTTCCGATATGTACAACACCTCTTAGCAGTCAAGAACGATTGCAGAATTGAGTATTTTTTGAAAGCGTGTGATCAGAAGAGGCATGTGATATTGATTTTTTTTCGGATGCCTTATCAGTTGGCAAATCCCTGGAGAACGGAGCACAAAATATTTTCAGCATTGGGAAATTAGGGTAATCAACTGGCCTTCGAAAAAAAATGTTGATCGCAAAAAGCAACTAAAATGAACAATTGAAAGAAATCCACAAGATTAAAAGACAAATAAAATAACAAGGCATCGGTTCATAGCCGTTTAGAGCTCTTGCTCTAGTGCATTGTTTAATAAGATTGATTTATACGTTACCATTTTCTGTTCACTTCACACTGGATAGACCAAAGGATTGGTCGTTTGTTTTATCAAACATTGGCCAAGTATTTTTGTACACGTTTTTATTTACAATCATCTTTCGAAATATTGACCACGTTTTAGCGTAGTATTCCTGTTTAATGCCAATATATGAACATAGGGGCTTTCACTATTTTCCTTTTGAAATTTATACGTTAAAATGCTCCTATTTTTTTTTTTTAATTCGGACCGTTTTTTTTTTAAATTGGCAATGCGAACGTATCTGTTCGTTACAATAAATCATTTTAATTCCATCGAAGAAAAAATAACTTAGAATTAATTTTATTTTCAATATTTTAAACATTGATTCTTTCTGAATCAAGTACTGAATTGTTGAAATCCTTCACAAAGATAATATTAGCGGATACCTTATGTAATTGGTGCTGTCTGTGCCACTCGAGTAACGTTTTCTTCAGTCATTGAGCAGGGATCAAAGTTTAGTTCATGCTTTCTGGCAGACAAACTATATTTTATCGCTCACTTGTGTTTGTGTCTTCGGCCAGAACACAACTAGTAAATGCGCGATACCCGGTTCAAGGGATTCCAATCCTACGGCAGCATCTTCTTCATGGCACCAAAGAAGGAAGGTCGAGAGAATATCGACACCAGAGCGACGTTGGTTGCGAATGACCAGGCAATTAAGGGCCTTAGACCATGTGCATGCGCTTGGGATCACTACTTTAAACCTATCTTACGTCTGAAACCAGTAACGTGGGTGAATGAGTAAATAACAAATACAGTATCAGTTCTATTCACTAATGGAATCATTACGCTTTCCCCCCATGAGAATACTACGTAACTCGGGCAAATATGCTACTCAAGTTAGGCTTTACGTCACTTCAGAGACATCAGGCTTGTGTCAAACTGTAGTACCTACTCTCCTCTTTTCTAGATATTTACCCGTCTCTCCACTTTGTGACAAATGGTCGAGATTAATGTCGGGCACCGTGCACGTAAATCCGGGCCAGGCCACCAAACTGACCTGCTTCTGTAAACGTCTTTTGCACTGGCATCAATATTGCTACCGATCCTCCTCTCTTGTGTAATGAGGTGGGCACGGTCGCAGGTACCTGTTCCCGGAACCGGGCGTCTCTCATTAATATTTCCAGCTTCGCCCTGTTTGCGGACGAGACAAAACTGAGTTGCGCTCTGTCCTAGGATGGAGAAGCAAATGAGAGATGATAAGAGTACAAGACCAATAAAGGCCGAGGGTATTATCTGTAATGATAATAGTAATATTATTCGTTTCCTTATAAAGAAGCATTCTGTGTTCTTTGATGGAGCAGCGAATATATTAATCTTAAATTGTTTTTTTTCCATTTCCTATATCAATTTTTCCAAGGTCGATAGGGGCATCGTTCTTAACATTCTGCTTGAAGTAGTGTGGAACATGAACTTTTTCATTATGTCATTATATTCTCTTGGAGTAAAACACTATCCATTTAAATTGTTGCTGCTCTTGAAAGACCTCAAGATATATAACTTCTGGCATTTTATGCTATATATTAGTAGATATTTATGTTCTTGTTTAATTTCAGTCTGTGCTAATTGAAACTTTTTTAATCAGTCTCGTGACCGATTACTCTACCGTAAATCATTTCCTTTTTCTCTTTATATTCATCTCGTTAAAATAAACCTTCTTTTTTTCTCCTTTAGCAACATTTAACAATCTGGTAACAGATTACTTATTTTGTGAGAGTTTATCACAGGTCTCCAAGTTTGAAAGAAGAATTCTCTTCGCTAAGATTATAAGATCGAATGTCGTTATATAAAGCTTTCGTAGATATGGTTCGGAAAAAGAAAATAATAATCCGTGAGTGACTACTAAAACATTACAATATCTCGATCTAACTCTGCGTCAGTCACATCGAATTTCCGAAAATGCATAATCCTCTCGTGCCCGTCTCCCCCGACAACTGAGATACAACTGAGCTACACCGTGTACTACACATTCTCAATGAGTAAGAATAGTAGGGGTATGGAGCAAAAAGAAACAAGTTGCCAAAAAGGAATTACAAGTACTTAACATTTTGGGGGTAACAAACTCCCCATGTGACTAACGCAGGCTTAATGAAATGTCAATGAAACACCTATATAATATTCGGAAAAAATATTGTGAGAGAATATATATTGAAGACATTTGAATATGCCATGAGTATTTTCAAGTATGTAAGACTCTCCTAAATATCGTATATTTTGAAACAAAATCCTAAACTAACACACACACACACACACACACACACACACACACACACATATATATATATATATATATATATATATATATATATATATATATGACAATATAATGTATATATCAAATTAACTATCGTTCATGTAATTTGAATTCTGAAAAAAAATATCTATACGACACACACACACACACACACACACATATATATATATATATATATATATATATATATACAGAGAGCCTATTTCGCTGTATCACAAGTCATCAGTGAGGCTAGACAGCCGATTGCTTTAAGCTGGGATTAAAACCACAAGGATTCGACATCAGTCATAGACACTACGAGTAAGCTATCAGCGCACGACAGAGAATGGTAATATATATATATATATATATATATATATATATATATATATATATATATAATCAATACAAGTTTGACACTTAGCTGATATAGGCTTCAACTTCACGCTACTTAGTTTCGTACATACACAATCATAAAATAAGTAATCTCTCTCCAGGTTCGTAGATGGATCCTTCAGGAATCACTGCATACACTTGCTATCCACTATCATCACACACACACACACACACACACACACACACACACATATATATATATATATATATATATATATATATATATATATATATATATATATATATATGGATGGATTGGAAGCCAACATTATTTCTTATTACAATAAACGTCATTTTTAATGAATAAACATATTTGGTGGCTAACCCTCTTATTATTTTCTTTCCTTTCAGTATGAAATTAATACCAACCGGACTAGATTCAGATTTTTTTTTTTTAAGAATAATTTTGCGTCAATAGGAATTGAATAAGTAAATACTTTCTGCTCATTGGTAAATGCTCCTTTCCACTACAGTAATGGTTTCCCTTATCATCCGTATTCTAATAAACAGAACGCGCAGTAGATTCAGGTCAGAGACAGGGCAAGAACAGTGCCGGTTCGTGAAAGACGCTTGAACAAGGAACGCGATATTTATGCTCAGAATGTTATCAGAAAGAGCGATACAGATGCATCAATACCTGTACCTATGTTTCATAGAATACGCAAAGGCATTCGACAAAAGACGCCATAAAAATCTGATGTAACTGCTCAGTAACCTCGATATATTCGCGAAAGGTAGAACAATCAAGAATCTATACTGGCAGAAAACAGCATGCATACGCATAGGAAACAGGTTCAGTGTATATACAAAAATAGAAAGGAGCGTAAGACCAGGTTGCGTCTTCTCCGATGTCCTCTTCACTCTATACAGTGAGGCAGTCCTTAGAGAATTAGAAACCCTACCGGGATTCAGTATTAGCGGCCACAATCTTAAGAACATAAGATACGCAGATGACGCAGTACTGATAGCAGATACGGAAAAGAAATTACAAAATCTCCTACAGAAGGTAGCGATGGAGAGTGAGAAAAAAAGGACTAAGCATAAACTACAAGAAGACGGAGTGCATGGTCGTCGGTAAGAGGATGAGCCCGAAAAGCAATTTGAAGGTCAGGAAACCTAGAATCAAGCAGACGCGTAAGATTAAATATCTGGGAAGCCTCTAGACAGTGGACAGTAAGTGCCATAATATGATCCGTAGGTGTTTTGGGATGGCTAAGGACACATTCCAAACGCTAGCCTGAGTACTGCGAGACAGGAGGATTTCTTTGGTAAAAAGAAAAGAATAGTGAGCGATTACATGACATCTGTCCTTCTTTACGGCAGCGAATGTTGCATGAACTAGAGACTCGAGGCAACAGAGATGTGGTCCTAAAGAAGGATGCTGAATATATCATGCACCGTGCTTGTGATCAACAATGAGGTCTTAGAGTGTTTGCAAACAAGTAGTAGGCTTATACTTAATATTAGGAAGAGGCAGCTGAGGTTTCTGGGACATATAATAAGGAAGGAGAACCTGGAGAATCTGATACACATGAGTCGAATAGAGGGAAAGAGAGACACAGGAAAACAACGTGTGACATACCTGGCGAGCGTAAGCAAGTGGTTGACAGAACGTGTCTGACGGAGGAAGCAGAGGGAAGGAACTTGTTGAGAGCTGCAAGTGATAGAGGGAGGTG